ATGCGTGAAGGAATTTCAACCAAGCTCATGACATGGCCGTTTCAAGACAGGCCGAAACTTTTACAATTTAGATATTTTATCGCCATTTCAATATTTCAGGCACTTGTCATTGACTCGTAATGTTAAATTTCGAGCAAGATTTTCATCCGGTGTGTAGAGGCTATCACCAGCCAGTCTGTGATACGTTATGACGTCACAGCTAAGCCCCGCCTCTGTGGTCTTGGCCTGCGGCGGTTTCGGGCCGGCGCGCGGTCACTCTCGCTGTGGCGGGGAGCGGGGACGGGCGACGGGCGAGCGGTGCCGAAAGCCGGCGGAGTTGTGCGTAGCGTCTTGGCTGACAGTGCCCAGAGAGCGACATGATGACTAAGGAGTCATAAATGCTCATTGCGCATTGCTTCTACAATGCGCATTGAGCATCCACCACTCAATGCGCATCCACCACTCATGTTCGCTGATATATTTTTTTTTTTATAAGCTGCAAATGACGGGCAGATGGCATATACCTAACTGACATAAGGTTAGGAAATATTCACCTGTATTTAAAGCCTATGGCGTTGCAGATAATGCGATAATGGGATGTCGGATGTCACCAAGTAGCTGCCGATTTGTACATCGCTATGCAACCATCGAACAACGCAATAATAAGTTAATTGCCTGAGCTTCACATCATACGGCTCGCTCGTATTTCAAACAGATACCCTACATCGAAAATCGTATTTGTTAGGAATCGTTAACGTTTGTTCGAAGCACGACTGAGTAGTAGGTTGAGGAGTGATGGTCCTCTTGGTCCTATATACAAGAGTCAACAAGAGCCTAACATTTACTTGACCGTCTGCTGCAATTGACTCATAGCACGTGAAGCGTCAGCGAAATTCATAGTCCTTCACAGATGGCAGGGGTGTCGTTTGTACAGAGGTCGCTGATGGGCACGGGTCAATGCCGCAGTCGTGGGCGGAGCCTAATGTCATATGACGTAGAAAGCCTCTATCCAGGATGGAAAAACAGTTAACATTACGAGTCAATGACAAGTGCCTGAAATATTGAAATGGCGATAAAATATCTAAATTGTAAAAGTTTCGGCCTGTCTTGAAACGGCCATGTCCTGAGCTTGGTTGAAATTCCTTCACGCATTTAAAAGTAATCGCGAAAAATTAGGGTCTCAAGGGGTCTAGCGTTAACAGTAGGGCCCAAATAAGCATTGGTAAGGCTCGGGCCCTACCAGGCCTATACAAAACGACGCCCCTGACTATTGTGAAACTTGTTAGGTAGGTAGGTAGGTAGGTACCACATAACTTGAAATTACTTGACGTAATGACATGATGTGGAAAGTGAAAATGATACCTAGGTATTGATGGAAATTTATGGACTTAGGTACGCTACAAGAAGATTGAATTGGTCAACCAATTCAAATTCAATCTACTTGTGGAGTAAGTCTATAGATTTTCATCAATAGTTACCACTTACCATTGAAGTTACTTGCTATCATGTTGATTTTAAACATAAGAACCTCATTCATTTTATTTGTATGACATGTTTGAATGCAATTTTCTCAATAAGTGAAGAAAAATGTTGGTAGTGCTCAACAACACATTGGTAGTGCTCAGCTGAACATTGGTAGTGCTCGGGCACTCCCAGGCCTATACAAAACGACGCCCCTGGGGCCGAGCGAGAACGTTTGGTTGGGTGAAACGGGTCAGCCAGAGTCATCGAACAGCCAAAATCAACTGCCTAACAGCTCGACTCGTGACAGACATTTGCGCGCTATCTTATGCAATTGCAGGTTTGTTACACTATTTTATTACTCTGTCGGTCGAGCACGGGTCGCGGACATCACCGCTACATATGGTTATGGAGAGGTCTTTGGCCAAATGCATTCACCTTTCCACATCTACCTGCCACACGATGCACAGGTACCGGTCAAACGGTGCTCTTCAGCACCACATGGGGGGAAGGAGGACTCTGGGGGACTGAAATAATCGCTGCCAGTACCTACTACATTTTAAGTTGTCAATACTTTGCAATGACAGCCAGTAGAGCTGTTTGATAGTCAATGTTGTGTTTGCACCAGTATTTGTATGGTGTTTCAGTTTTTGTCACACTGAATGGTATTTATCCACAGGCACCGCTCTCATCCCTTCCCGCAATGCTCTCCCGATCTCATGATGAATCAGCTCAGCCACCACAATGTTCATTGTATCTGCTACCATTTTCCTAGTTAAAAAGTGCTGCCTAACTATTTCCCACCTAGGTTAGGCTAGTGCTAACCACGGCGAGCGATTTGCGTTTTTCTCCTTTCTCGTTGCTTGCTCTGTTATTTCTATCAGGGGTGCTCGATTGGCTCCAAAGCTTTCAATCGGAGGACGGTACCGGTCAGTGGCCAGACGACCAGAGTTGGTTGGTCTGTCTGTTTTGGGCTGAATTTGTCTGTTTTGCGCTGAATCGGCTCGTACCGCGAGTCATACAGGGGTGAATATTTGGTATCCACGCATGTAGCTAGGTATGCATCAAATTAATCTTAATTTGTATATGTTATTTTTTAACATGACTGACTGAATTGCTTTCTGCAAAATATTGCATTCTGCATTATAGCATTACGCTGCCAAGTTAGAACCGAAACATGAAAATATTTGTCTTGGCACGATGCGTATTTTATATTCTGTATACCTAGTTACCTACCTTTAAACAACAACAGCATCCAAAGGAATCATAAGCCGTATCTGATCCGCTCAGCGAGCTGCGAGACGTCCATTGGTGAATGTTAGCGGCTAACGGATCAAAATAATGCGGTCGTTCTATGACTTTGTTCCTCGTATAGGGCACAGTAAAAACAACTGGCTGTCTGGCAGCAGCAGCACACGTGTCCCCCAGTTCGTGTCAGATCTGATAATCCCTGCTGGCCATCGACCTCAGCGCACCGGCCGGCGGGGGCGGATGGAGTGACCCAGGGTAGCGGCCGGCGGGGGCGGATGGAGTGACCCAGCGTAACGGGGGCGGATGGAGTGACCCAGGGTAGCGGCCGGCGGGGGCGGATGGAGTGACCCAGAGTAGCGGCCGGCGGGGGCGGATGGAGTGACCCAGGGTAGCGGCCGGCGGGGGCGGATGGAGTGACCCAGAGTAGCGGCCGGCGGGGGCGGATGGAGTGACCCAGGGTAGCGGCCGGCGGGGGCGGATGGAGTGACCCAGGGTAGCGGCCGGCGGGGGCGGATGGAGTGACCCAGGGTAGCGGCCGGCGGGGGCGGATGGAGTGACCCAGGGTAGCGGCCGGCGGGGGCGGATGGAGTGACCCAGGGTAGCGGCCGGCGGGGGCGGATATACCGAGCCCGGGGCATTGGTCCGGTCCGAGGCGGTAGGGCCGACCCAGGTGTAGTGGTCCAGTAGGGAGCGGATGGACTGTCCCAGGGGCAGTGGTCCAGTCCGAGGCAGTAGGGCTGACCCAGGGGCAGTGGTCCAGTCGGACCTATTTCAAGGAGTTGATGAGCTGGTGCGGCTCGGTCAGGGCCGGCGGGGCGCTGATGGGCCAAGCGCAGGAGAACAGTCCGGTCTGGCCAGGGCCCAGGAGGAAGCTGAGTTGAGCCGGAGCAGCCGGCACCGGCCGGCGACACCGGCCGACTCAGCGCTCACAGTAATCGGCCTCAGCGTGCTAGTGAGTCCGGGGCACTGGAGCCTGCCAGCAGCGGGCCGGGTCTGTACCTCTCCCCATTGCCAGACCCGAGCGCTGTCAGTCAGCTGAGTGGCCATTTGGGCAGATTTGGGAGGTTGAGCCAACTCAGTGACAAGTCGGAAAGTCACAACGGAAAGACGGGCTCGACGGGGAGTCAGAGGCATCTGCCAGTGACTCGTCACGGAGTCAGGAGCATGGGCGACTCGTCAGGGTGTGAGTGCCTCAAAGTTCACAGAGACGCGGATGGGAGGTGGCGCAGAAACTAACGAGCAGGCTAGTCAAAATAGTGAAAATTGACTGCTTCTGCCTTCTTTTTGCCTCAAAACATTGGTGCATTCTAAATCAGGCATCTCGGCAAGTGCATGGGATGCAGGTAGCATGCCTGTGACTGGTCATGACCACGTCTTAATATGCGGAATGTTGTGTGATTGCAGTTTTAAATAAGCTTTATAGTTTCTTTTATTATAAATGACCTTCTTAGACATGCAGTCCATCTCCGCTTTCCATTTTAGATACTTATAAGTATTATTATGCTAGCGGGTATAACAAATTTGTGCCCTCCACAGTTCAATAAAATCTTAATGGTACAGAATAATTACTGAACGGACATGCCAGTGCGATTGTAGACGAGCTCATTTCGGGCCGCTCGGCGGGTGTAAATGGCAGCGTCATTAGAGCTGTCGTACCTGACAGCGGCGCCGGGCAGCCAGTAATGACGACCCGCGGACCCCGGGCGGGGACGGCCCGGTGCAGCTCAGCTGCGCGCCGGTGCTGTGTCGCCAACAGTCAATCATGCAAAGTGTGGCCGGTGATAACCACTCGACTCGCCAGTTAAATACAGTGCCGACGTGCCTTGGAGTCTCATTGAGGAGGTACGGGTAATCACACCGGGCGGGTGTAACCAGTGCAGCGCGCACTCCGCGACTTGACGTCAGCAAATGTCGGCACATTGGGTACGTGGGTAGGCCATCAATCCGCGATGGAAAAGGAATGGAGGAATGTTTAAGGCACATATCTTAAATGAACAAAAAGCCACGGGTATTTGCATGAATATGCCAATGTGATTAGGTAACGCGTCAGAGCGCCCGCACTCCGCGCTTCGGAGGTGATCGACGCTTAAATAGCAAACAAATTGTGGTGATTAAATAAAGAACTGACAATAACCGACAAACACTGGTCCTTCCCCGCTTACAACTCTGAGTACATGTAATGCATACCGACAAGCTACCAATACACTGCCCAACTTGACCACAGTTCCGACGAGTCCCCACAAGGATGACCGGGCCCCTCCGCATCCCCGGCCGGGACTGCCGGGGATGCGGTGACAGTCAACACTTACCGATGAGTTGACACACCTCCGCATGGGGTCGACGGTGGGCCGGTATGTGGCTGGCGGCGAGTACCGGCCGCCGGGGAAACACGGCGCCTGGGCCAGCGGCTTCATGTTCATCATCTTATCGCTGGGGCTGTACATGGCCGGCGGACAGGCGGCGGCGGCCAGCGGTGGCTCCCACTGGCCCAGAGCCGGCGCCACGGCCGAGCCGGCCACCTCGGCGGACCTCACGGTGACGGCTGCGGCCGCCGCCACACCAGACTGCTCCCGGCCGCACACGGCGAGTCACTGCGGCCGCACCGGACGGCGGGGCGTCACGGCCAGTCCCGGGCCACAGAGCGAGCCTCACTGCCAGTCCAGAGCGCGGGCCCCACTGCCAGTCCAGAGAGCGCGTCCCACTGCCAGTCCAGAGCGCGTCCCACTGCCAGTGCACAGAGCGGGCGCTGAGCCGGCGGTGTCCGAGCGTGGCACCTGTTCGGCGGCGGTGTGCGGCAGGTGGCCCCGCTGCCAGTTTCGGCCGGCCTCTGCTGCCGGCCGGCTCCCGTCGGCTGATAGAGGCGGCGGCGGCCACCTGGCTGCCGGCCGCCAGCGCGCATGCGCCGCCGACCGGCGATCCATGGCGTCGGCAGTGGTAACGGCGCCGACGGCGGAAGCCGGGCAGATTGCAGGCCGATTGTCGGTATCAGATCCGCAGGCCGCCAGAAGAGGGCTAATTATTTTAGGCCGCAGTCGGACAGTTGGCGATGGGGCGGCCCGCGGCGGTGGGGGTCCCGGCGGGCGCCGAGCGAGGGGCGGGCAGAATCACGGGGCGTTTTAGTCCCCTCTTTGTGCGCCGCTCTCATGTAGAGATGGGCCTCGTATTGACTCCCGGGATAATCGCGTTTCGCAGATGATATTGTACTGACATAAATCTCCATTAGTTCAGTGTGTAATTTGTATAGTTGGCCGGGCTTTGATGCACCCCTCGCCGGGGAGTTGTCGCCGTCCCAGGACGCCGCGCCGCCGCTGATAAATACGATTAATTCGGTAATTCTGCCCGTCTGTATGACAAGTGATGGCGATCAGAGCGTGGCGACTTTTGCCGCGCCGTGACCGCCGCAGAAGACAGATGTGGCGCGCGCGGCGAGAAGGGTTCGCCAGTGATTGGACGCGGTGATTAGACCGGCCAACAAATGGCTATTGGTTTTTGTTGTAGGGCAATGGTACGTAGCAGGCGGAGTTAAAGTTCAACAGCCGTTACACGCGACCAATCGAGCGTATGATACAGCCGGGCACGGGGCCAAATGCGCAGTCGGATCTACGCCGAACGTGTTTCAATTTCACAGTTCACATTACCTGATGTAAACTTTTTTTCGCAATCAACACTCAAAAAGCGCCCATTGATTTCCTCCCAGTCTCACCACTGTGGCCTCAGTCTCAGCACCCACCGCACTCGTTTTCCCAATACCAGTCCCAGGATGCCCCTTCCAACAGCAGCAGCTCACCGTACCGCCGGTCGTACTCAGTCACCGCCGGTGTACCGTCACTGTACTGGCTCAGTCACCGCCGGTGTACCGTCACTGTCCTGGCTCAGTCACCGCCGGTGTACCGTCACTGTCCTGGCTCAGTCACCGTCGTGGTGCTGTCACTGTACTGGCTCAGTCACCGTCGTGGTGCTGTCACTGTCCTGGCTCAGTCACCGCCGGTGTACCGTCACTGTACTGGCTCAGTCACCGCCGGTGTACCGTCACTGTCCTGGCTCAGTCACCGCCGGTGTACCGTCACTGTACTGGCTCAGTCACCGTCGTGGTGCTGTCACTGTACTGGCTCAGTCACCGTCGTGGTGCTGTCACTGTCCTGGCTCAGTCACCGCCGGTGTACCGTCACTGTACTGGCTCAGTCACCGCCGGTGTACCGTCACTGTACTGGCTCAGTCACCGTCGTGGTGCTGTCACTGTACTGGCTCAGTCACCGTCGTGGTGCTGTCACTGTCCTGGCTCAGTCACCGCCGGTGTACCGTCACTGTACTGGCTCAGTCACCGCCGGTGTACCGTCGGCCTCACCAGCCGCGTCGCCCGCCAGGTCCGCTGCCTTTCCCATTTCTGGTCTCCCGCGGGAAGGGCAAAAACTAGCGTGCCACCCTCGCTCGGCCGTATGGATCCTATGAAAGGCAAACATTCAATTATACGTGATTACAAAGTGTATCGGTGCGGGGGGCGGCGCGGCGGGCAGCGCGCAGCGGGGACGCGCTAATGGCGACTCGCTGTACTCGGGATAAAGCCGGCCCCATCGCCGCTGGAGTGGAACAATACACCGCGGAGCCGCCCCTGCAGCGACAAAACGCGCCCGTAATCGGCGAAAAATGAACAGTCCAACAGCTGCCGGTCCACTGAGGGCGCGACGGAACGGCGAGGGACTCTGGGAGGTCCGGGAGGTCTGAGAGTCTGGAAGTCTGAGGGGCAAGTCTGAGAGTCTATCGAATCGGTTTCGTGACGTTAATGCACGTCGCTTTGTCCGATGCAAAATGTTATTGATGCGTGGAACGGTCACTTTCAGCGACAAACAAACTGAGCGATTTCAGAACGGCCAAACTTTGGACAACGAGTTTTGTTGGCGGCCAGTTTCGGTGGCGATGAAGAGTGAGCTATACCGACCAAACCCACCCCACGACCGAGTCAACTACCGCCGAACCGCTCGTCAGGCCCGGCCGGCCGACAGCCACCAATCAGCCGATAGTTGTCCGGGTCGACGCAATCAAAGCACCCAAACAGTACGATAATCACGCCAATCAAGCCTATCACATTCATCATTTCAGCGTCAGGGGCCACCTGCGCCGAGCGGGACTGCCGGGCGGTGGTGGGTCTGACCACGGCCGTCCGGTTAAAGGTAGTGTGCCACCTTTAAAAGATTTCCCATTTTATTTTTCCTAGGATAAGAAGCTTCTGTTTTTACCTAATATCGCAAAAAAAAAATCAAAAATGGGCCTGGAATAGTGCCTTTTTCGCCTAAAAGTTTATCGGTTTTTAGATATGTATAACAACTGTAGTGGGCTCACCTGCAAACAGGCGTCGGCAACAATCGCGAATGCGGCGCACTTGTGACAATAAGCAAAGGTCATTATAGTGTTACGACCATACGACGTACGGGAATGAGTTATCAGCTGTCTAATCGTAGACAACACAATGTCGAGCCTTAAACTGTAAGCCCGTATTGGTATTGTTTCTTTTATTTGGCTGTCGAACATTATTTATGGTTTGAAATATGATTTTATGTAAAATAATTGATATGAAAAAGCCGTCTCATAAGTTATGACCCCATTTCACCACACGCAAGTGGCAGAAATGACAATTACCGGGGTTACATGAGCGATCCGTTCCAAATACGCACTACGCTAATGCGCATCAGCTCCCCACAAACGTATCTACGGCACCGGTTACATGAGACTAATTCGTTTTATCTACGTCAAACGGATCTTGTTTGGCTCACCCGGGCTGACTCCTCGACGGCCGGTAATGCGCATCACAAACGGAATAGGATTAGCGTACAGTCATGGCGCAGTTGCGGCATTTACCGAGACGACTGAACTAGATTTTAAATACTTTTATCATTTGATAGGCTCAAAAACATTTAAAATTAACATGAAATCAAAAAATGAAAACAAAGTTTTCTTGTTTTAAGTCAGTGGGCACTGATTCGCCATGCAGCGACAGCAGGGTGGTCAGAAAAAATTATCTATCAAAATATTTCATTCATTTTATTTCACATGCAAAGACTAAACCAAAATACCAACATTTTTTTTGCAATTTTCTACGAGGCAGCCAACAAAAAAATGCTTATTATTTTGCATTTTGACGGTTCCAGTCAGCAAAGAATAGTTCTTGTGAAATACGGCCCGAATCGAATAACTCGGTTACATGAGCGATCCGTTCCAAATACGCACTAGGCTAATTCGCATCAGTTCCCCAAGAACGCATTCAGTGCACCGACTACATGAGCAAATTCGTATCAGTGACGTCAAACGGGTCTAGTTTGGCTCTCGGCCCGATGCGCATTACAAACGGATTAGCATACAAATGTGGCGCACTTCCGTAGCAATAGAGGTGACTGAATTAAAAATTTAATATCTCATGTCTTTTTTGCATTTAATCTGCTCAGAACATCCTCAATTAACTTAACAAAAAAAAGCTGAACATAAAGTTGTCTTGCTTTGACTCATTGGGTACTTGCCTCTCTTGATTCGTCTGTAGTGATGTCAGAAAAATGTTTCAACTGAAAGTACTTTGATATTTTCTTTTTGGTTTTCACTATATTTATTGACAAAATACCGACATATTTTTTTAATTATTATTTCAAAAGAAGCAAATGAAAAAAATACCTATTATTTTGCATTTTAATGTTTCTTTTTGGAAAGAAATAGTTCCTGTAATACGTATCTTGGTCCTATTCGCTTCTAAGCCTCTTTCTCAGCGGATTTTGTTTGGACCGCCGATTCGTATTAGCAGGTGGATACATGAGTCGGTAGTACGCTCCTGATTCGCATTAGCGGTGAATCCGATCGTGATACGTATTTGCTTTGCTCATGTAACCGCGGATCGGATCGCCGATTCGTACTAGCAGGTGGCTACATGAGTCGGTAATGCGTTCCTAATTCGAATTAGCGGCTAAATACGTATTTACTGTGCTCATGTAACCCCGATAAATGATCAGCTGACGCATTTTTCTTGGCCGAAGTCAGAGCGCGCAGCCCGACGCACCACCACCGCACCACAAAGTATGAGCAGAAGCCGCGCCCAAAGCCAGGGCCCCGGTAACGTGAGGTAGCCGAGTCGGGGCAGCGTGCGCTGACCCAAGCCGGGGCCGCAGCTTTGGGCGCGGTCTACCGCATCCCCGCGGGCAGCCCCGGGCTATCACATGACACCGGGAGGACGCGCGGCTCCGGCTTGGGTCAGTGCACGCTGCCCTGACTCGGCTACCTCACGCTACCGGGGCCCTGGCTTTGGGCGTGGTCTACCGCACCACCTAACAGGCGTGTTCGAAACCGCAGGAGCTGATGATGAACGGGTTTATCGAAACTTGATTGGATGAGCATATCGGTAATAGCGATTTCAGTGTGTGCATTTATTGTTCATAGTGGTGTGAAATGTGGTTGGGGTACGACCGACAACCCGTCGGGGCGAATTTCGCACTGGGGTACTCAAAATTTGAAGAATTGAAGACGTTTCCATGAGTTTTGAAGGTATGGATAAGTTCTAAAAATCCGGTTCTCCTTATCTGGGCCATTAACTCCATACGGTCCAGGAAAGCTGGCATACTACCTTTAACAGTCGGGCGGCTCGCTGTGGCGGCTCTCGGCGCAAGGCCGGCGCCGGGCCGCACCGCCGCGTCCGGGCCGGACTTCCGGTCACGTGGTCCGGAACTGCCGGCGGCCGCGCCACCCGCCGCGCCGCGCCGCGGTTCGCCGCGATTGCAGCTGCAGCGAGAGTGCAACAGTGGCGGTAGCGGCGGGCGGCGCGGCGGGAGGTTAGCGGCCGGCGGATAGCGGCCGGC